GCCAAAATCTTCAGAGCTGCTGTCCAATGAACCTCTCTAGGGTTGTGCATAAACCTGCTCAATACACCTACTGCAAAAGTAATATCAGGTCTGGTAACTTTCAAATATATTAGCTTCCCAATTAGTCTCCTATATCGTCCAGCATCATCTAGGAGAGAGGTATCATCACGCCACAAATCAACATTTGCCTCCATTGGAGTGCTTGCAGGTTTGCATTCCAAGAGACCTGCTTCTTCTAGTAAATCTAGCACATACTTCCTTTGGGACAACAACAGGCCATGTTTTTGATATGCAACTTCAATCCCAAGAAAATACTTTGGCTTTCCTATGTCCTTAGTGATAAAATGACGGTTTAGATACTCCTTAGTCTCAGTTAAGGCAATAGAGTCACTCCCAGTCAGCAGAATATCATTAACATATACGGCTAAAATAACCAAACCAGTTGTTGTGCGTCGAAGAAAGACAGAGTTGGAAACCAACATTAGAAATAACCTTGCTGAACTTATCAAACCAATCTCGAGGACTCTACTTTAACCCATAGATGGCCTTTCTCAGCCTACAGATAATATTCTCCACCTGAGCAACATACCCAGGAGGTTGCTCCATATAAACCTCCTCGTCCAAATCACCATAAAGGAAAGCATTCTTCACATCTAGTTGGTGCATCGCCCAATCCATATTAACAGCCAGAGAGAAAAGAATTCTGATGGAGTTGAGACAAGCAATGGGAGAAAAGGTTTCAAAAGCCTTTCGCAACCAGGCGAGTTTTATAACGGTCAACAGACCCATTGGGGTGATATTTTAGGGTATACACCCATCTGCAACCAACCACAGCCGCTCCAGTAGGAAGAGAAACCAAGTCCCAAGTCCCTCTAGAAAGTAGTGCATTCATTTCCTCATCCATGGCCTGCTTCCAAGCTGGTACTAACATAGCTTCCTCATATGACCTAGGTATAGATACAGTGGACAAGGACAAGGCAAACTGACGAAAAGATGGGTTGAGACGGTCATAAGAGACAAAAAGAGATATATGATATTTCGGGCAAGACCGTTTACCTTTTCGAAGAGCAATAGGGATATCCAAGTCAGAAGGAATAGAGGTCTCAACATGAGATGGACCGACAGCTGGAGATGAAGGTTCAGTAGTAGCAGATTCAGGGGCATGTACTTTTGGGCGGCGAGAGTATGTTAGTAGAGGTTTCGGTGCAGGAGCAACAGGAGCAAGTAATAGAATAGTAGTAGGAGCAGAAGAAGGTAGTGGTACCTGTGGACAACCAATAGTAGTGGAACCAGACGAAAAATATGGGACATACTCAAAAAAGGTAACATCAGCCTGTGGACAACCAATAGTAGTGGAACCAGACGAAAAATATGGGACATACTCAAAAAAGGTAACATCAGCAAATACAAAATATTTACTGGTGGACGGATGATAACACCTATATCCTTTTTGAGTACGAGAGTATCCAACAAAAACACATTTGATGGATCTAGATGACAACTTATCCAAACCAGCAGTTAAATCCTGAACAAAACACGTAGAACCAAAGACACAGGGAATCACAGAGAATTGTTTTTTATCAGGATAAAGACAATTTAATGGTATTAAACCATCAAGGGCAGAGGAAGGCATGCGATTAATCAAATAATTTGCAGTGAGAACAGCATTAGACCACAAATACATTGGAATATTCATATGTATCATCAATGTTCTAGAAACATCTAGAATATGCCTATGCTTCCTCTCAGTAACTCCATTTTGTTGTGAAGTGTGAGAGCAAGAAGTCTGATGAATAATGCCATTAAGAGCACAAAATTTTGAAACATCACTTTTCATATATTCCAAAGCATTATCAGTACGAAGAATACGAACAGAAGTAGAGAACTGAGTTTTTATTTCATTATAAAAGAGTTCAATAACGTGCGAGACCTCTGACCTCTCTTTTAACAGATAAAGCCACGTCATGCGAGAGAAATCATCAACAAAGATAATAAAATATCGAAAACCTTGCACAGAGGGAACACGATAAGGACCCCAGACATCGGAATGAACCAACTCAAAAGCAAAACTACTACGTTTATCGACTCGACTCTGAAAAGTAGCACGATGGTGCTTACCCAGTTCACACGACTCACAACCTAAAGAGGAAATAGATGGCTGAACAGAAACTACCGATCTAAGTTTTTATAGTGAAGGATGACCCAGACGCCAGTGCCACAATAAAGTGGAGTCAGACCGTGATGCAACAAGGCCAGCTTCTGGCACACTGTCGTCCAAATAGTACATACCTCCTCTCTCATGCCCCGAACCAATCTTCACCACAATTGCTAGGTCCTGAAAAACACAATAAGATGGAAAGAATGTGACTTTACAATTATTTTGTTTTGTAAACTTGCTAATGGATAATAGGCTAACAGGGAATTTGGGAACATATAACACATCAGTTAGTTTTAAAGAGGAAGTAGCATGAACTACTCCATCACCACGAACTGGAGAAAGAGTACCATCAGCAATGCGGATAGAAGGAAACTTATCAGAAAGATGTAAAGATACAAAGTGATCCTTTATACCTGTCATATGAGATGAGGCTCCAAAATCTAGTACCTAGGGTTTGTAAGAAGAAGCTATGTAAGCATCCATACCTGAAGAGGATGCATGAGTAGCAGAATGAATGTTCTGAGAAAGTTCTAGCTGGCGTAACCTCTCATAATCTGCCTGAGAAATCTGAACAGTAGGAGCAGTTACAGCTGGACCACCAGAAGTAGTAGCAGAAATAGATGAGTTAGTCGACTCTGTATCAGCTACCTGGGCCCACTGAGGACGACCAAACTTCTCCCAACACTTCTCAGAAATATGATTGGTTCTCCCACATTGACCACACTGTCGTGAGCCCTTATTAGATTCACCTTGCCTCCCACCAAAGGAGCCACGTCCTCCCCCTGAATCACGGCCACGACCACGACCATGACCGCGGTCTTTGCCTTGATTAGAGAACATGGCAGACTGATCCATCGTAGGTGGAGATGGTGTAGTAGTATCAGAAGTAACACCAGTAGAGACCTGTATGATTCTGGAGAATGTAGTAGTCAGTGAGGGAATTGTATCTCCACCCAATATCTGTCTTCTCACCTGGTACTGTAAATTAGGGTTCAACCCAGAAAGAAATTTGGATACTGCCAGATCATGATGATACCCTAATAGCGTCGCTGCATCAGCTACTGCAGGCTGATGCATCTCTAGTTCGTCTATCAGTCCCTTCAATTCACCAAAGAATTCCGGAACTGACTTATGTCCCTGTTTGAGCACAAACAGTCGCTCATAAATTTCAAATACACGGGAAACATTCTTCTCGTTCCCGTACATAATCTTTAGGCTGTCCCACATCTCCTTTGCAGTGGTTAAAAACATAACGCTGCTACTAATCTATGCTTCCATACTGTTGAGAAGCCAAGTCATAACACAATAATCAGATGAGAGCCATGAATTGTAGGTGGGATCTGAGGTTGGTGGTGGAGATGCAAGAAGATGTGGTAGTTTGCTCTGAGCGCCAATGAAGATGCGGAAAGCTTATGCCCAGAGCAGATAGTTTGCACCATTCAATTTAATAGTAGTCCCCAAGACTACCTTGGGCGCAGAAGTCTCACCAACAACAATAGAAGGAGTAGTAGAGGAGGAGATGTCCGACATCAAAGTAGTAGTCATTTTTTTATTTTTGAGCAACAATAGGAGACAAATAGTAGTCAAATAGGCAGATTAGTTGTAGAGATCCGTTTTCGAAACATAAACTAAGAGCAGATCAGGAGCATGATTAGAGGCAGAGTGGTAGATAGTCATGCCCTCACGCTGCGTAGGCGAGATTACCTGAGGGAGAGAGCCCTAGCTTTTGTTTGCACAAAGGTTTAATTTCTATATTCTTGTTTCTCGAAGGAAACAAGAATAAAAGTGAAATATCTCAACAACGTGAGATAGACACTCTTCCTCTCGTCAGTTCTATGACTGAAATGTCGAGGGATACAATCGTCCTCTCATCAGTTCGAAGACTGAGATGTCGAGGGATACAATCGTCCTCTCATCAGTTCGAAGACTGAGATGTTGAGGGAATAGGTAACACGCTGTAGGGGGCACTGTAGCATGGCACTGTAGCGGTGGAGGTACTGTAGCAGTGGGTGGTGGTACTGTAGCGGCGTTACTGTAGCAACATGCGGCGGTACTGTAGCAGCAGCGGTGTGGTAGCTAGCGGGCTAGGGTTTTTGAATGAGGATTTGTGATGGCTAGGGTTTCATACTCTGATACCATGTAGAGAATAGAGAAAACCCTAATTGTTGTTTATTGAGAATAACAAGAGAGATATATATAGCCATACAAATAGGGTTAAGGTTAACGAGTAACAGCCCATTAACCCAATACCCAATATTTAACTTAACAGTTTCTATTTCAAAAAAATCAATCCATTGAAAATGTGGTATTATGCACAAACCCCTTCCTGTGCTTCAGAGCAAAAAGCCTACTCTTACAACCATCTCCCTAGAACCTTGATCATTGGTAAGTAGAAAGAGAGTTCAGAGAGTTTAAGATAAAAACACATTAAAAATAAAATAAAAGTTGTACCCTCTTTCTCAACATTCAATGAACTTGTCCTCTTTTTATTTGGGAGTTGGGAGTTAGAGATAATTCTCAAATAACAACTGTCAATTTGTAAAATTAAGTTAAAAATAAAAAGATAAAAACAATCAGGAGGGTGTCAGCAAAAATAAAACTAGCGGGATTCTAAGTTCAAAACTGCAACTGGGGTTCTATCTGCAACTAGTCTTCACAGTTTACCATTGTTAAGGCCTAAAAGCGTAGTTTTATCTAAATTAATTATGGAAACAATCAAGTTTCCGTATTATTTATGGTGTTAGACCTCTTTACTCCACAAAACCATAACCTACCAAAGTTAATTGTATTGCCAAACATAGCTAGTTAGGAAACCATTACATCTGAATCACACGCATTCAGATAGTTTTCTGCAACTCCAGGCAAAATTTCTTATTGAATCGGAAACTATGAGCAATTACAGCAAATAAATATCAAAAAAGGACATCAAAATGACTTCTTCAAACGTATCGGCTCCTTATGATTTTGTCTCAAAAGGAGTATAATGCTTAAGTGAATCCACCACTCCTTCAATAGATCCAACTGCTGCAGATAGTGAAATCAACAAGCAGAGTATGCTCAAACTCTGCAACAAATTCCATTTCTTACTGAATTTCTTAATATTACTCTGAGCAATGTACATCTCAATTGGGAAGTAAACTGTAAGAGGCCAGAACCCTACAGCACCCAAGAACGCGAGTATATCATTGAAGAAAGGCATGAGGATCGCTAGAAATGTTACCACGATCACAAAACATGTTCTCCAAATTAGTCGGAAAAGATTGATCTTGTATTTGAAGCTTTTACCAATGATTAGGGTTTTTTCATTGGTCAGAAATTTTATGTTCGGGTGCCTTCTGGTGATCAATGTCTCAACTACTGAAAAAATTGGTTGGCAAAATACCTGGCCGAGGAATTACAAATCAAATAGTTAGAATTTATGATAGAAAATACCGATATAGTTATGAGAGGTTACATAATAAAGACCTGAAATTTGTTCAATTTGGCATATGAAACATGATAATTATCTGAAATAAACCAACAAAATGACTAATGATGCAGATGTTGGTAATTTTGCCTGACCTTGATACATGTACCTATAGTTGGAAGCAAACTGATATGTTGCTACGTACGAATAAAATGATAGAGTTTGACAAATACTCATATATCAGATATCTACTTTGTTTTATATGGTACTCTCATTTTAGTATTGAAGCCATCCAATCTATGCTTATGAATAATTAGATAGTAAAAATTTCAAATTTGTTCAATGACATATTGAACATGGTAATTAACTGAAATATTGTACAAACCAAATTAATAATGATGTAGATAATAGCAATTGTCTCTAACTTTAATACATGTATCTACAACTGGTAGCCTACAGAAATATTGCTACATACTAATACAAAATAGAACCTAGAAAATAACTGATATATCAGTTGTCTACTTTGAGTGTTGAAAAGATCTCTTGGTATGGGTAATTACATAGGAAAAATCTAAAATTTGTTCAATATGGCATATCAAACATGATAAGTATACAAAATGCACATAACAAATAATGATACACATGTCAGAAAATACAAGTATCTGTAACTGGAAGCAAGCTAATATACTACTAGACATTTGAATAAGATAATAGAACTTTGCAAACATTGACATTTCACATCTGTATATCTGGTGGTTTTAGTGTTGAATAGATCGGTAGAATATAGTCATGAACATATTGTAAGACCTCAAATTGTTCAATATGACAGATTAAACATGAGAATTACCTGAAATGCACCAACCAAATGGATAATAACGCAGATGTTGGCAAGGTCGATCAACCAAAAGGGTTCATAGAATCCAAAACCAGTCAATATATTTCCTGGTGCCTTGTTTCCAAATGCAGCATAACCGAGACAACCACAAAGGAAATAAAATGTGGTGGTTGTTGATACTCCAATAAAGCTAGCCTTCTTCATTACCTTGTTCTCTGCTGGAGGTGATTTCAAAGTGTCCTGAGTTGATAAAGAGAATAATTAATTTAGAATCATGATCAAATTTTATCATTGGGAGTAATTGAACCCCTCTGAGATTTGAATGCAACTTAAATATAGATTGACAACCAAATTAACCAGAAAGTATAAGTTAGATATTAGTCTAATTGTCAAAATCTTTCCATTGTGGGACTATACTCATACTAATTGGACCCTGTCTGAGAATTAAATGGACCTTAAACATAACTGAGGACCAAATTAGTCTAAAATCTTGAAGTATGGGGTATAAATTCCTAACTTTCTACTTAAGTTACTTACTATAGATACACTTTTTTGAGGATTCATTACCCTGTTTATTTATTTAACTTCAGAATGGGACCATATTCAGACATGAATCTAGAAAATTTCAGACCTGGATTTCTATTAGAAGCATAGAGTAGGAATATGCGAACGCAATATCTCCTAGTGCTTGACATGCTTTCCAAACTTTCTGAGCCGAATCTACATCAACTCCAACTTCAACGCCAGTGATACTGGTCTTCCCGGTGTTTCCTGCTTATATTAAAAATCATTTCTACAAGCTTGAACAAATTTCTATTGCGAATGTAGATAATGAATTTGGTACCTGAAATTATTTTGGCCATGGAGAGGCCAATGGCAATGAAGGAGTAAGTTAAAGACATGACTGCAGCAAGAATCGAAAGCCACCAGAGCTCATGGAAGTTTGGAAGCTGAGAGAGGAAAATTTGAATCACACCAAATCCGACCATGTAAAAGGTGTCGGCAACACTGCAATCAGCTTCATGGCCTTTTTTGTGGAAACAACTTGCCTTGCTTATTGCCCTGCATCAAGTTAGGACTTTTCCTATCAACAAATTCATGTTTCCGGTACAATTTTTCATATCATATAGTTTTATACTCAAATTTTTAGGTTCTTGGTATGTTATATTTTATTGTAATATTTTTTATCATGAAATTTTGTGTTCGTATGACACTGTGTTATGTTATTGTATCAGGAATCAGAAAAGTAATCTCTTTTTCTGATGCAATTGAAGGGTTATGTACATAATAGCTTAACTATATGAAACTTCAGAAAAGAAAAATCCTAGCAAAAGAAAACTATAAGAAAGGGAAAAGGCTAGAAAATGTTATGTTTAATACATTATAAATCTATTGTTAGACAAAATAGGTTACTGAGAAAATCTTCTGAATACTACTGTCTATTGAATACTAATAGACCAAGTTTATCAGAAAATAATTTTTTGTGCACAATGATTGATTAAACCTATCATATAAATAATCATGTTCGTAGGAAAATTTTGCATATCTAATCTACTAAACAAACTACTTATTGAATTAACCAACATTCATATGATAAAGAATTAATTTGGTATAGACCCATTGTACTATCGCAAAATTTAACTTATGACCCCTAAAGTTCTATTATTTTAGATAGAACCCCTACGTGAAAAATCTACTGTTCTGGATAGACCCACTGAAAAGGGTTTAAAAAAAATTCACTCATCGGGTCTAACTGTAGAACTACAATAGTAGTATGTTCAATTTGGTGATAGTACAGGCGGTCTATCTGCAATCAACCTTATCACAAATATGTAACAAATTAAAACTTACGCAGCACTAATCGACGCTGTAATCGTATAACCGATTGCTGTTCCGATGAGATTGACATACTGACAAATCCCACAAAGCCAAACCTGAGTTGCTCCAAGATTAGACCTCACTGCCTCCATGTAAGTGTAGTTCCTTTTACCCGTTACGGGATGAGGAGCCCGATAACAGTTCGTTAAGAGACTGGAAGTGAAGAAGGTGATGATGGAGAAAAGGAAGAGTGTCACAGGGCCAGCTATCCATCCAAGCTGAGACATTGACCATGCTAGTGAGAGAACACCAGAGCCTATTACTGCTGTTACTATATGTGCACTTGCAGTCCACACAGTCCCTGAAAAGGATAAAGAATTTGATGATGATTAATTAGGATCATATATATTTCAAGAGTTATGTGTTAGAATATAAAATTACAGGACTCAACATTCATTATAATTTCAAAGTTAAGATGATAGTAGAGCAAACCAGATTCAAATCCAATTAGACAAACATTTAGATCAGATATAAGGAGTATTAATGATTAAATATTTAATTAAATTACTTAAATTTTATTTAAATTAGCTAAAAATAAGGGTTGCTTTCACATACAACACTTGTTGTGTTAGAACGTTGTTCATACGAGATTGTTAGAATGTTGTTTGTATAATGTCTCTTGTTTGAATAATAACAAACTCTTATTACTACTAATATATTTTGTGAGATGATATATTTCAGGTATAAACATGAACGAGCAAGATGTAGTTCGAAATGATATAAAAATCAATATGAACGTTGATTTTAGGCTTTGAACATCGATGTTCAAGAGGCAGCCATCGATGATCAAACATCTCGTCAATAGTTATAGGAGCCAATCAGAGAAAAAAAAAAAAAGAATTAGCGCCATCGACGATCTGCATTGACCTATTGATGGTCATAGGGAATCATCGATGGTTACAGAAGGCAATCAAAGAAATATAGAAACTAAAATCAACACTATTAATGGCTATAGTTGAACCATAGATGAGCATCAACGGACCATCGATGGCCGTGATCCACCATCAATAATGTTATGATGTTCACTCACCTAAGATACGGATATTTGTAAAATGATACAATAAGTGTCATAGCAAAATAAACTCAACCCTTTGGCCGACTCCCACAGTCATCTCTCGACCTTAGGGGGGATAAAACACCTAGTCAACTCTCAAGAGTTCTAGGCATTTTATTCCTCAGTTGAATTACATGTCCTTAGCTCTTTATCAAGGTAAGCCCAAGGCATGACATATAGTCGAATCCTCCAGTACAACTCGATCATCATGGCTAGTTACAAGACCTTGGTATCTTATCAGGAATAAACCCAAGGCATAATCACAGAGTCCTTGGCCTCGCCGACTCATCAAGCCGACACTCTGGTGTCGACACGAAAGACGATATTTGTCGACACGAGAGATCCTGACCTCCCAGACGAGTCAACATCTCTATATCGACTCGAGATACGATTCTTAACAAGGATAAAACGACATTCTGACCATTCGAACAGGTCGACATTTTTTCATGCCGACATAAATGACGGAATTAGTCAATCTTATCATCGAGGACGACCCTACTTAGGGCACTCGACCATTCACTAGGCAATTCTCGAAAACGACTAGGATTAAGTTGAGAACTCGACCCCGACCTCAAGCCTCTATCCCAAAGCATATGTCAATATCTCAGTCCACCTCGGAAAAACCTTATCCAGATTTTAGCTTGATAGGTCTCCATGACTTTTCAGCTTAATCACTTTCTAAAAAACTACAAAGACACACTCTCCCATAATGAAGTGACTTCCCCTCCAGTCGTTAGCCGACACCTGTAAGGCGAGGGATGATTCAGCATGCTAGCATGTCTTCTGCCACACTCTCAATCGCTTCCTAGAAAATGTGTAGACATCCTCTCCAGAGCTGAAGTGATTTCTCATTCAGTCGCTAGCCGATACCTATAAAGCGAGGGATGACTTGGCTCTTAGCCCGTACTCCAACACCGCTTCCCTATATTGGGCTAAAGGTGATCTATCTTATCCCAACAACGGAGAGAGAGAAGAGAGAGAAAAAACCTAAGAAAGAAAAGAGAGAGAAGAGAGAGAGAAAACCTAAGAAAGAAAAGAGGGAGAAGACTTCCTCCTCTTGACCTAAATCTAAGAGAGCATCATATCTAATGCACATAGAAAAAGAACACATAGTTCTTCATCAACATAGAGGATCTAACGTAGATCCTCTGGGCATGTACATTGCCATCTTAAGAATCATATCGGTTCCTGATCTTCCCCTTCCCCACTCGAGTTTCACTAACTTGACCGTCGGAGGAACCACAGGGGAACCGATCCCCGCCCTCTCACGGGTTCTTCTTGTCTGTGCAGCGTGGACATCAAGCCCTCGTTCAAGAACCAGGCATAAAGTCGAAGAAGGGAGCGGACCCTCCATCATTCTTCATCACCCCACAACCATCCTTTTCTGGATTATTCTGTTTGATATTGAGCATCAAGAGATGATTATGACAAAATTTGGCAGCTTTTAAAATTTAATATTAACTGTTCATCGACTCCTTTGATATCCTATTTGAATTCAGATTTGAGTATCTCTTTCCTGTTCTACCAAGGTCTATTTAACAGGAGTTAGAGATCATAATTAATAGCGAAGTATAAGGAGGCAAATACACAAAATAAGAGATGTTATTCTAGGGCTTGAGAGAGAGAGTTGATCAATTCCCTAAGCCTTGTTCAGCTTCTTCTCTACGTGCTTTTAATCGAAGTTTAATTTAGCGAGAAGGAATGCCCTATACTATATTTCTACACTGCTTATTCATAGATCTTTATCTTTATCAATTTGAAGAACAGTTTGATAAAGGGTTGTAAGATTGTTCTTTTTTTGCTTTAAATATTGTGATTAATTGTATTTCATACTTATGATTTTGACGGCATACTCAAGCTGGGGTAATTAAGGGTTTGGCTAGCTAGGGCTAAAATTGTTTCTATCATTGTGAAGAATTAGATTAGACGACTAGTTTCGGGTAGATTTTAGGGTGCAGTCTTTAAAGCTTACTTAATCAAGTCGTGATTTAGGTGAACTCTTGTTATAGTGGGAAAAGTCCTTTGCGAGAAAGAAGAGTGGATGTAGGATTTTGATCCGAACCACTATAAAAATGTCGTGTGTTTCTGTATTGGTTTGCCTTTTATTTTTCGCTTATTATTTTTCGCTGTATTTTTTGAGTCCTGTTGAAAAACTTAGCAACCTTATTCACCCCAGGAACCTCTAGGCTTACATCCCAGTTTCAACATGCTGTTCATTTTAACAAATAGGACCGATTAGGGCTAGGCACTATTTGGTGCGAAAAGAATAGATCAATAGAACCAAACGAATTTTGGCAGTTACAACATGCTATGGTTCGGTTCAATTTTAAAAATTTTAAAACCGAAATAACTGAACTGACCGATCTTGACATAGTTTTCTAAAAACCCATGCCCTTTGTAGGTTAAAAAGATAATTTATACTAACATTTTGGTATATCTTAAACGATTAAAGCTCAATTTTAGTTTGTAAAGTATTTGATTTGACAAGTTTTCTCTTAAACTTGAGATATGATATGACCGAGAGTTTTGAAGGTGTAAGAAAATTGTGTCTTTAGCTAGAAACTTTCTAACTTGACATGTCTATATCCAGACAAAACAAACCAAACCAAACCGCAATGAACGGACTTCATCCAGTTCAGGTTGATTCGGTTTTGATTCTAATTCGTTTCCATTCAGTTTGATAAAAAAATAATCAATCAAAACTAATCGAAAAGATCATTTTCTCACCCCTTAGGACCATGGATGAATTTTTGACTCTTGTACCCTTAGATAAACTCGATCACTAATTTTATCTAGGATAAAAGAGCTGAAATATTTAACCCAGGGGGTCTATCTGCAATAAAAAAGAACTATAGGGATAGTAAGTTCAAATGATCCTAAATGATTATTTAGTATATATGAAAACAAATTAAATTTAATAAAGTATAGGATTATTCCCACAAGTAAAGGTTCTAACGGTTAAGATGAGAAGATAAGAATTGAAGGGGCAAAAACTAATTGGGGGCTGTTTGGGTCCACACGTTTGCCACACAACTCATTATAATGTTCTGGCCGCAAATAAGTCATCATGTTGACATAGAGGAATGTAGTTATGAGCTTACCAAGTTCGACTAAAATTTAAATTGTAGAATATAACTACCAACTGCACATAGAACTCGAGCTTTGGACCGTTCTCCCTTCAACTACTACTCCGGAATTCCTAATTTTCACCTAAAAGTTTTTCTGAGGGGAACTTTCAAAGATTAGTTGATTAATTATTCGGAAAGGAATTTCCAACAGTTGCTTATCAGCCAGAATTTGGTAGTTTAAGGTGGAATAGTTCTGAGAACTTTTTATGTGGAGCGGTAAATTTTGAATTAGATGACTACATGGATCCTTAATTTCAAAGAAACATCGATTCTACTACTTAGTAATATAAGGCCCAGATTCTAAATACATTTACATTTAAAAAAAAACCCCCACATTAGCAGAAAATCTTTTAGGATATAAGATAAATCATATCTTCGGTGATAATTGAATAAGTACTCAAATTATTCCCCAAGCACCAAGTTTAGGAATTAATAAGCACAAGCATATTTAGATTACAGTATTACGCTATTCCATTAGAAAACTGACCCAAAGAAACCCAAACCAACAAGATTTTAACTACTCTCACACGTGTTACGTACAAGATCTATAGCTTCCTCCGGTCCGGTTGGGTCCGGGTTCTCTACAATATTTATTGTAGAAAATGCTTACAATTAATTAAATGGGCTGATACTAGTAGCTAATCTTAGTGGATTTCTCAATTGAAAATATTTTTATGTTATTTAGATAATTAATATCAGTCATGGGTTTTACTAAGTGAGTTTTTTTTAATGAGTTATAGAGATTCTCTAACAATCAAAGATATAAGGATCTTTTCCGGTTTATTCCACCTTTACACATGTGACCCAAGAACCAATATTTATTTAAGAAGAACAAAGAGCAGTGCCCTTAAATGCAATAACTTTTGTATATGTTTAAGTAATCAAAATGGTAAGACAAGTAGAAGGAGGTCTGAAATTTGTTATTTTTCAATTTTTCACACCAGCTAGCTTGGTAACCTCTCCACGTTCCCTTTTATTTGTGCGTAGTTGAGAGAGAGAATTTGTTATTTTTCAAGTTTTCACACAAACTAGATTTGCATCCTCTTCATGTTTCTTTTGGTTTGTGCTTAGTTGAGAGAGAGATGCTTAGTTGAGAGAGAGAGAGAGAGAGAGAAAGAGAGAGAGAGAGAGAGAGAGAGAGAGAGAGCATACCAGTTCTTCTCGGCCTACCATCATCATCAAACTCTTCATTTCTGCTCACTTCAACGTCTAGAGCTGCGCTTTCTTTCTCTACCATCATCCTTCTGTCTTCTCCCATCTTAATTTCTCTCTGTGTGTATAAATAAACTTTGATCTTATATATGAATTTTATCTATAAAATGAATGGTGATCGAAGGTAAGAGGAGAGGAGAGGAGATGGCTCACATATTTATAGGCCTAGAAAGTAGTCACTAAAGACAAATGCATGACATAGGGCTTGTATAGTTCCAAAGTTAAAACCTGTTTCTTAAAAAAAAAGCAATCATTAAATTACCAACATGCACTTTTCTATGCTTTGAATTAATTGGATGGTTAATTCAGTTGCAGCCTTTCCTTTATTATTTATTTCTTTTCAGACAAAATTTGTGTCCTGATTAGTGAAAATTCTGAGAGGTTTCAGTGCTTTTAATAAGTGCATCTACATATATTTGAATTTTTCTTGTGTTATTAGAAAGTGAGAGGCGATCGATAATGGGCAGACGCACCGGCGGATCCAGAAAATATTTGTTGGAGGGGTGGATTATTAAGTATCTATTTATAGAAATAAATGGAACTCAATTCGGAGATGTATAGCTTGTGATATGAATCTTTTAACAAGATAATGTCAAAACAATTAGCAGCAACATGCACAAAGGTTAAAACTTGCATTACCTATAATTTTTAACTCGGTTATCGGTATCACTATTATAATATATTTTTAGAAAGCTCTCAATATGATCTACAAAAATAAGATCTTCAGGGGTGCAACTATCCACCCTGGGCACCACTTAGATCCGCCCCTGGGTCGTATGCACTAAAATCCTTTTTTGAGGCTTTAGTAAAATAAAAGAAAAACAAAAATTTTAAATTGAAAAATGGTCTTTATTCACGGAGTAAATGAGTTTCAAAGAGAGCACACGAGGGTTTAGTGCAAATAAAACAAAGTTCGGAGTGGTTGTGAGTAACATACTTATAGTTCACGAGAGTTTTCAGATTATAGTAGTTTAAGGGGGTAACTGCAAAATCCCCCAAAATTCAGGGGGGTTCGTCTGAAATTATCCAGAAAAAAGATTCTCTCTTCGCTGAAGAGCCTATTATGCCCATCACCATCTTTGCTCTATCACGGTCAAGATAAGTCTATACACAACTTCGGCCCACCTTCTTATGGACGATATAAATTGAATTCGTACGCGTTATTTGATTATTATTTCTTATTTAAAATATTTGTATAAAATAAATAAGATTTAACCGTATATCAACCATCATCCAAAAAACAAAGAAAAAAAGAAAAAAAGGAGTCCACTCGATATATGTGACCTCTCAAGGACCATGTTCTGCTAGCTGACAAGTTACAACGGGAGCTTTAATATCACATTTGGCTTACGCGATACATAAAAACAAAATGAAAGAAAACAAAAACAAAGAAAAAAGTTTTTTTGTTGCATTAAACTCTTGTATTTTATATTTTTCGTGGTCCCATTCTTTGTTTTGCTCTGGCTGTACAAAATTTCACTGCTAAAATTAGACGTCTCGTTTAAATTTATGTAAAGTGATAGATTAATCAATGTTTGAACACAGAATTTCATGTTCCTATTAGTTCGAACTAACTAGTCCTAATGCGTGTTTTAGAGTTGTTCCTTCTCTTTGAATGGAATAATAGAATGCATGCTGAAAAGTTTGAATGGGATGAGTCAAGTTAAAGCAAAAGAGACATATGATTCTCGCTCTATAATTATAAGAATATGAGGATTCAAGAGTTCAGTAGTTCACGTCTCTATAAGTGCTCAGGGCGCGCTTTTGGACATAGAATTGTCTAACACGGGAATCATAGTGTCAATTAATAAAGTGTATTTTGTTTATATCGCAAATAAACGCAAATAGTTTTGGGGGTTTGGTTAGAGTTAGCTTAGAGCTCAACAAACTTGCTAAACATATATTGCCGCAAGTTTGTTGATATTTATTTGTCCCATGCTGGGATTTCACAAAAGTATGAATGAATTAATTAATAAGGTGATAACAATAACGAGTCATTTTGAACAATGGTTGAGCATGACTATAGTTATTTCTTCGCAGATATTTGAGCCAAACGTGTTACACTTAGTTGGTTTAAGGTTTACATAGTGCCAAAGGAGTAGCAGGCCCGAGCAGTTACAAAAGCTATTGCTGAAGTTAGCTAGCCAGAAGTGTAAAACTAAATACTATTGCCCGAGAGTAAGCAACATCTTGTAACTACGTCTTACATTCAGGTATGTATATCCATGTCCAAAATGCCCTAATGATGAAATTTATAAACTTCTTTTGCATTATTTGCCGGAAAAAATGTACACGAGAATATTATTCATTTAGATTGAGGGACCGTGAACCTTGTATTTGAGTTGAACAGGAGTCCTCTTATTGATCTTACTGCATGTTTGGAATCAGCTTAAAAGGACACGAGGATAAGACGCTGCGAAAATGAGATGAACTCATAGAGTTAGCAGAAAACTTCGTCACGCAAAGTAGACAAACATAAAACTTTTCGGATATATTAGAATACAAGATCGCGTTGTCGGATTTGCATTTGTTTGGTAGTGAGCTATCAGAGAAACTATGATACGTTATCATGAATCATACTCGTTCTTAACATTTCTGAACGAAAGTTTAAAATTGTGAAGTAACAATTTGGTTCTAGTTAATAAAATTCGTAATACTTCCTAACGAACATATGTAAATAAATAAATATATTTTGAACTTTAATTAAGCTTTGGACTTCAAATGTTTTAAAACCCCAAAATTTGAAATAAAGACATTGATCTTTTAAAGTCACACTGATATTATTATATCAAGGATTACTTTATCTACAAATTTATTCGTCCTTTATATATAATGCGAAGTTGGTGTGTTGATCCTAGGAAAAAACTTAATACATTGAACCATCAAGTTTAAGTTCAGTGTTGAGGGCCCCGTGATCTTTTAGACGTCTGGTGATGATCTTCGCTTGAGATTGCAAGGGATGCATAGAAAACGCTTCAAATTTATGATGGCGGATTGTCCATCAATGCCCTTCCTATACGTAAGTAAGACCCTTGATAGAGTCAAAGGAATAGGTGATAATCACATTTTATTACAGTTTTATACCCTCATTATCTATTTTATATGAATAAATATACCACTAATAATTGTTTTTATCTTTAATTGCAGGTTAATGAAGAATAAATCTCAAACTCCTATCTCTCAACAAAAACCCATTGTTTTAATAAAGAAATGAAGCCCATGAAGCTAAAGGAATTCTTTCAAATATTTAATGAAGAAATAAATCAAAGCCCAGTGGAAAAATCAAGAGAAAATGCCAAAGCCCAAATGTCAAAGCCCAAAAGTCCAAGCTAAAGCCAAAGACCCAAACCCAAAAGCCAAATACAAGAGGATATGCGGACAGCACACAGGAGAAGGGCAGGCATCGATGCCTGCATCGATGGCGGCATCGATACCCTGGGCAGTTAGTTACGAATCTAAGGCTGATTTTTGATGTTTTTGGATAAGATTTTAATCCAATGGCTCTCATTCACTGATGTTTACTATAAATAGGGGTAGAGAGTGAGGGGTTAGGGGTGTGAAAATTTTTGTAACTCTATTTGGAGAGGAGGGCTACTCTTAATTGAGAAGGCATTCCAAAATTGTAACTTTTGTTACAATTAATAATAATAATTTTTTCACCACTTTAAAATTTTCTCTTCTTCTCTTTGTTGGATGATGAAGATGAAGATGAAGATGAAGAATTATTTAAAGGTTTGCATATCTCTTTTATTTCTTTTTTATTGCTTATTAGTTTAGATTTATTTCTATGCTTGTAGTTAGATTTTATTTTCTTATTAAATAGCCAAGAGGCTAGAACCCTCTTGCCTTAGATCTATTTCATGCTTATAGAATAGATTTATTTTCTTGCATTTAATTCTTGTAATTTATTTTGTAGTTTAGATTTTACAATTTATTAGTTAGATTTTAATTTCTTGTACTATTCACCTTGAGGCTAGAACCCTCTTGGGTTTAGTTTTTCTTTTTGTTTATTTTCATTTTGTTTGATTCGCCTTTAGGCTAGAACCCTCTAGGGAATCACCCTTTTCTAAGATGTGGGTTTAATTTTAGATTACCCATATCTATAATTGAATCCACCATCTTTAATTTCTTACATTTTCTTTTATTCTTAAATTTTGTTTTTAATTCTTGACTTTTATTTCTTGATTTGTCCTTCTTGCCTTATTGATCACATTCATTCTTTGTCACATCCACTCTCACTTATATTTCGTGCCGATTTACATACTATCACTTCCACTCTCTCTATCTCTCCACAATCACATTCACTTATCACTCTTATTTGCCACGCACACAACATAAGAACCGATTTTATACTTTCTCCTACAAAACACCTCCTCGTGGGATCGATAATTCTTTATACTATAACTTGATTAGTTGTGCACTTGCAACTTTTTGGTATATGTTTATGCCGCACCAAGTTTTTGGCGCCGTTGTCGGGGAAGGTGCTTAAGTAGGTTTTAATTATTTTGGTTCTTTAACTTGTGTATTTATTGTGAAGGAAACGCTTGGAGCTTGAAGATCGCGGATTGGAGAACTAGGATTTGAAGATTTGCTTTCGGGTAAGTCTTCTTTCAAGCGTTTTCAATTCCACCCCTTTTAGTTAGCTTCACAATTAGAGACAATTAGGATTTAAAAAAAATTATTTTTGTTGACCATAATAAAATCCATCTTTCACTTTGACATTTATTAACAAGATAATAAATTCAAATAATTTCCCCCTTCTCATTTGTTTGATTGTTAACCCTAATTAAAAAAAAAGATTTTTTTTTCCATCCTTTTTAGTTGCTTTTAATTCATAGGGTTGTATTTCATATTATTAGTAGGAATTCACCAAGTAATTTGAGCATCTTGATTTGGCACACACTTAAAAATATTTTTAAGGGCAAAACCCCATAATCAAGATAAGGTGAGGGATTTCATCACCCTTTCCTTAGCCCAAAAATCACTAATTCCTCACTACACTACCCAAGCCTAATAAAACTCATTAAACGTTGGCCCCTAAGGACTCGAGCTCAATAAGGAACAAGAAATCCTTAAGTGAACCGGTTTAAGTTTTCTCAAAATAGTTGGTATTTAAGGCAAGGTT